TAGACTTATAGAATGGTTTGTGTTGGAAGGGACCTCTAAAGGTCATCTAGTCCAACCTCCAACACGTCTCTGTTGGTCAGGTCTATGTGTCCTTGCCCTTCATGATGTGAATGCAGAAGGGACCGTGTTGCCATCAGCAAAAGTGCTTCTGGAGCTTTCCCTGTATCCTTTTTGAGTGCTGCAAACATTCCTGCCAAGATAAACTGTTATCTTAAGTTTCTTCAGAAGGACAAAATTATTCCTGCTAGATACTGGAGCAGGAATCTGGCTGGGGGAGGAAAAGCCAGTTTCCAGGAGAGAGGAGTTTAGCAGAAGTCTTCCTTCCTAGAGTGGACTGATTAATTTTATTTAGTTAACGACTTTTTGCAGCTTATTATGTGGAGAATGGCAAGAAAGAGGTGTTCAATTGGTCCTTCCTCAGAGTTTGCTGAACCTATGGGATGAGGGACACCACAGAGAAGGAAGGACAGTGCTGAATGGGTTTTCTTAATAAGCAAATGTGCAATAGCTTGGGCAGAGCTAAGCTCTTCCCCTGTTTCTAGCCGCAAGGTCATCGCTGCACCTGCAGGTGCCCCAGCCCTGTCTGGTATTTGCAGTATTCACTGCTAATTCCAATCTCATTTATGGTCTAATCCAATGTGGATGTGCAAAACCGTATAAACTGTACAGAGAGTCGGGTATGCTGGCTCGGCTTTGGGGCTCACCTGTTAGCACAGTGCTCAGCTGCGGCTTGCATATCCACAGGGGATTTTAGCAGCGGTCGGAGGAATGATTCGGGCAATGTTTCTGGGAGATGGCCAGGAAGGACAGGAGGGGTGCTCTGTCCTGCACGAGTACAAAAAACAATTACAGCATTAGAGCCCTGCCAGAGGAACAAATAAACCAGCATTTAACCCTCCCTCTCCCAGCCGTCCAGCTGGGGTGCAAAGCCTCCCTGCATGAGGTGGCCCTGGAGCTGCCACCACAGTCCAGGCAGTGCTGCCGGGCTGAGATGGGGGCTGCAAGCATTGCCCACATACCTTCCCTTGGCTTGGCGAGGGGCTGCTGCTCCTCCTTGCAAAGAATTCACCAGAGCTATTTTTAACGGCGCTGCCTGGTGGGATGGCTCAGGGTAAAACTGGGAAGTGCTCATCCCAGGCAGTGCTGCCTTGCTTGGGATGAAAAGCACTGGAGTTGGTTTGTAAAGGACCCTCTCTGTGTTTATTGCCCCTGGTTGGACATTGTTAATGTTCATGGTTTGTTTTCCAGCACTGCTTTAAAAAGGGGCTTTTGAATTTTGCTGCTGGGTGCTATAAAATCCATGGACCTCTGTTTCAGCTTCATCCTGACCTTCTCCTTTCCTATCTCCAGACTTTCGCCCATGCTGGTTTTTGCATGGACTGCTTTCTGCAGAGGGGCTGGGAGCTGACAGCACAACCAGCAGTAAATAAAAAAGTGTGGCCCTTATTCAAGTGCTGCCTGAAAATCATCAAACTTATATGCGTAACATGAAAGGCCAGCATTTTCCTTTTTGCAAAAGTTGATTCTGTCTTTTAAGCAGATCTTAACCTTGGAAGAAATCTTTCTTCTTATGTATTTCATGTCTAAGTTTCCAAGAACACCTTCCTGCCTCTCTCAAACCTCGTGAGCTTTATATTATTCACCACTGCATCCAGCAGACCCTGGGCCATGGGCTGGGAGAGGCTTTTGTGCTGCCAGTTGCATGTGCTGCGCTCTCCTGCTTTGCAGCCGAGGCCAAGTTTTCCTCTGCGTTGAGCTCCCAGGCACTGCCAGCCCGGCAGATAAATAATTATTTCAGAAATACTCTAGGCAAGTTAGATGTTATTGTTATGGCTGGGCCCTTTCTTCTGTACTTTGTCATGGTGTTACTAAACCCTCAGTGCAGCTTTTTGGAGGGCCGCGAGCAGCAGTGCCTTCTTTTCGTGCCCCAGGGATGCACAGTGCAGCTAGGGAAACTGGGGAAGACGTACTTAAAACACCACGCCATGTCTCCGTAAGCCAGATGTTCATCACCTGTCTGCTGCTGTAATGAACGATCTCAGCGATGGTGGGACCTAGTGCAGGGCATCAGCATCCCCTGGCCAGGGGAGAGTAGTGCTCTGCTTTGCGCCACAGCTGCCCCAGGATGCTGACAGAGCCGACGTGTGGTGTGCCAGAGCTGACACATTTGAAGCTGCAGCTGCGTTGATCTTGGTACCCCTATATCAAGTGCTTCTGGATGACTTTGGAGGCAGGGTGACAAGGTGTGTGCAACTGAGTGAGGGAGCCAGGTGAAGCTGCTGTGCAGCTCACATCCTCGGGGCAGTGGGGGACCCCAAAGTCATGCTGTTCGGCTTGCTGTGGAGTTCCAGAGCTGCCCCATGGCCTCCCTGACCTCATGCCCAGCTGTGCCCAGGAAAGCTCACTGTAGGGCCCTGCTAACCTTGGGATTGTGGTGTCCCACAGAAATGGCTCAGCCCAGCCAGCTCAGCATCTCAGCACCTGCAGCATCCTTGCTGCAGCTTCTGCAGCCCAGGTTGGGGCCTTCCTGGCCTCACCATCTCTTTGCCCCCAGGAACTGCAGTACTCAAGAACCATGCAGCAGCCTGGTGGCATCCAGCGGCTTTTCTAGAGGAAAGGAAATCTCCAGCAGGAGGCAAGCATAATTCAGAACTGCCTTGTCACCTCCAAAACCCCTAGGCTGTTCTCTTGCAGTGGCCCCAGTCACTGGGAGCGAGCTGAAGATGTGGGAGCTGCCCTCACCTGTTTGATAACATGTCAGCATGAGTCCAGCTATGTCCCTACTAGCAGAGGGAGCAGACCCTCCATCCAGTCCCCTTCCAGGCTACATTTTTGGAAGTTACCTTTAGGAAAGCATCTACCTGCTTGTCCGGTGTGCTGCCTGCTGCTCCCCCAGCTGGGGCCAGCTGGCTGGTTGTGTAGCTGGGAAGTGGCTGAGTTAGCTTCTGCCTGGCTCAGTGAGTGGCTGAAAGGGAGAATTTTATCTCTGTATGGTGAATCCAGTCCTCTGGAAGCAGCAGGACAAAGCCAGGGGTCTGAGCACGTCCTGCCAGGATGAGTGGGATCCTAACTTCACAAGCTTCTTGCCGGCGCCGGGCAGGCTGTGTGCCCCATGTGCAGTGCGCCCAGCCCGCTCTGATCCCCCAGGCATGGCAAGCACAGAAACATCCCCCTTGATCCCTGCCAGATTATAGTGGAATTAATCACGTTGATTATATGCTACCAAAAAAGGAGGTGCTTTCTCTGTTCAGAGCTGCCTCAGACCTCCTGCTTGTGAGCAGCTGCTTAAAATTGCTGTTTTCTGCCTCATCGTGTCTTGTTTCTGGGTTTTTCAGGAGCTATAATGATTTTGGATAAAAAGACCAAGCATGACAGCAATCCCAGGCCTCTCAGCCTGCGGAGAAAGCAGGGGGATAATGTGTGAGTGTGGGCACGGAGATGAATCATGGCTCCAACAGAGTGGGATGTCATCCCAGGGAGAGACAGGCCGAGCTCTGCACCCTCTCCTCTATTGCAGGACCTTGAACAGCATTTTTGGTTCCCCATCAAGTCACACTGTTGCCTGTATCAATCTGGATTAATGCCCTATGTTTAATTCTTTCCCTGCAGCTACTCATGATGTGTATGTGTGTGTACATATGTGTGTGTGTGTATATATATATAATCTAACTTCTAAGGGTATCAGAACAGCATTTCTATCTCCTTTTCATTGCACCTGTTGAGTATTTAGACTAAAGCTGGTCTTGTCTGCGTACTGCATCTCGGTTTAATGGGAAAGAATTAATCCTGATTTCATGACTGATGATCCAAAAACTCCTTTGTAGCATTTTCACTGCAGGGATGAGAACAGCATCGTTCCTCATTTTTTGTCCTAAAAGATGACCAGATACTAACCTGAGTCTGAAAAGGACTCATCAGGCACCATAAAACCACATTAAAGGTTGTAATTCATAGTGACTTGGTGTTTGAGTGCTGCTAGCTGCTTATCTAACTCTCCACACAAAAATATTTGGTTTTGCATGTGCAGCCAGTGTGTGCTCCATTATGTACAGCAAGGGAGATATTGGAAGCCTCAGCAAACTTGATAGCAAGAGCATGAGGAAAGCAGCTCTTCATAAGCCCCAAGTGGAACAAAGCAGCTGAATATACGGTGCTTCGCTCTCTCTTATTTTTAAGGTGCAATTTTGCTGTTTGAAGTCAACTCCTTCCCGGACTGTGAGCAGCTGGGCTGTAAAGCCAGCCCTGCTTTTAGCGTAAAGATCACAGGGCCCTGAGCTTGAGGCATGTGAGGAATATGACAGCTGGCCAGCAAAGTAACTCTGGTAGCCCTATAGCCCTACAGAGCAAGGAGGAGATGTGCTGGGAAGGGGTGGAGAGGACTCAGGGAGCCAAGCTGCAAGGGAGGCAATAGCTCTGAGCACTGGCGAGAGCAGCCGCCTCAGACTGCAGCTAGTAAAGGAGTTCCTTGGACAAGCTGTGCTGTTTGCTGGAGAGCTATGGGAGAAACATTTGGGATAAAACAAGTCCAGAGTGCTGGGCAGGCGCATGCTGCCACTGGTGAGGTGCAGCAGCTCAGGCTGGTGACAGCACAGCAATGTTCAGCCATCGCGTTACTGTTGCTTTATGCTCCAAAGATGCCTGCAAAAAAGCTTTAGGCATTCCTCTGAGGTAGGTTTTCAGTGCTTTGCAGCACGGCGGCGAGCCTATTTTGCACTACCTGCTGCCTCTCTGCAACACATGAACATGCTTGTGTTTGCAGATACACCTGCCCTGTTCCCTTGTGTGGCTAAATGCGACCTTTACACCTTAGCCTTAAGCATCTGTGCCCCTTACTTGCTGAAAATGTGATATTTTCTCCTCAAGTATGGGGTTTTTGGCTCTGAGTTCTGTGTTATGCCAGGGGGGCTGATTTCATGTAGTTCCTGGACAGGGTCTGCTGCTCAGGCTGGGCTGATCTCAGCTCAGATGGTGCTCACTAGTGTACCCTCTTCTCTCTGCAGGACAGCTCACGCCAAAGCCAAGGCTGAAGGGTCTGAGCAGGCTGCTCAGGCAGCTAACAATGAATCGGGCATAGCCAGGATGATGGCCAGGGAGCTCTCCCCGGACTTCTACCAGCCAGGTAGGACCAGAGGCATCTAAGAGGGATTTTGCAATTTCCTTGGAGAATCTGTTCAAATGCTTCACCTGCTTTATGACCCCAGAAGTTGTCTTTCTGTCTATCCTAAATCTTTTCGTGCATGTTCAGCCGGCCATCTGTGCTGGATGATTTGCCGTCCTCCTTACACTGCTATATTACCTGTTGGAATATGTTACCATAGCCTGGAGGAAAATGTCCCAGTCCTTCAACTTCCCCTCATGTTTCTCCACGAGGGATGAAGCCCTCCCAGTGCCAGGCAGGGCAGGCAGCGAGCTCAGGTCTATTTGCAGTGCTCTTGTCGATATATCCCTCGTGGCTTTTTCTTGGAACAGCTTTGCACATTGACTCACAGACCGTACTCTGTGAGGCCCCACACTGCACCAGGGTATGATCAGACTCAGCTAATTAGGGGCTGTAATATCCTATAAGAAATTTGCTCATGCAAAACACTGTTTTCCCCGGTTTTCTATTTATTTATTAGCATCACTGATGATTATGTGGCTCGGAAAACACTTAGGAGGTTCCCACTATGAGACTGAGCACCGAGGATTAGTAGATAGGAAGTGTAATACTAGAAGGAGCATTGTGAATGCCATTACTTTTCCCTAGACCAAGCTAGCTAGAGCTATATTCTCCTGGAAAGCTTTCCTTTCCAGAGAGGGAAGGTGATAACAGAGCAGAAAAGAGGATCCAAGTGCCTACATTTTAATCCTGTTTTTCTTATCATTCGGCTGCATTACCTGGAACTAGCAGCCCAGTGGCTGCTGAGGCAGGATCACAAGGGACCATCACAGCAGCAAAACTGGGGGTAGGAGCCAAGCAGGGACTCATGGAGTCACAGAATCTCAGGATGGTAGGGGCTGGAAGGGACCTCTGGAGGTCATCTAGTCCAGACCTGCCACCTGCTCCGGCTCTGGTGCTTTGTTGCCTCTGGGTGTACAGTACTACACCCCAGCACAAGGCACGCAGTGGGAAAGGGGAATGGTTCATACCCAACACTTGGCTGGGGAGAGTCATGCTGGCAGATTTGCCTGAATTCCTTGTATTCCCACCTTGCCCTGCACCTACTAGCTGGGGAGATGCCGTGCTGGAGGGAGCTCGCTTTGACTGGGGAAACACTGCAATGCCCAAGCACAGGTGTGAGCCAGCATGTGGCACTTCATTTAACAATAGCTAAACGTCGCTTGATCCTGACATAAGCTCCCCAGCTGCCACTTACTGCTCCACATTCACCCTTTGCACACTGGGGTATTTATAGCACAGAGGCAAAGGAAACTGGAATTCCTGATGGGAGGTTTTTGACATCTAGCTAGATTATTTTTTCCACCCATGGCAACTGAATGAGACAATTGAAATGATCTCTGCAAAGTGCCTGAAGCAGCCTAGCCTCCACTTCTGGCTCCTTGGGTGCTGAATCTTCTTTCCACTTTTCTGTAGGGCTTTGCTTGGGCCTCTCTCAGTGACCTTGTAGGCTGCTGAGGCATGTTTTTCTTCTATGATTCTTTTAAATCTCTGTACTTCCTAAGTGCACAACAAGGGGAAATTTCTCTTCTTGCACGACTGCACTGTCCAGAAACAAACAGACAAAAGTTCACCCTTGGATTTTGCTAGGCGTCGCAGCTGCTGGTCGCACAGCCAGGAGACCCTGGCAGTGTTCAGCAGCTGCATTTCCCCTGCTGTCCCTGGGTATGGCACCAGGCAATGCTGTTCAGCAATCCTCACCTTCACTTTCATTTAGGATATCAGTCTTAATATCTTAGAGGAGGTAAGCCAAAGCCCTTGCTGAAATGTCATGCTGGGAGGTGGATGTGGGATGGGGACATGAGGAGAATTGAGGCTGTGCAGTGCCCTCCAGGCAGTTGGGTTTTTCTGGTGTGAATTATTCAGGATGAAAAGAAAGCAGCAGGAGAGAGCAAGGAGCCTGCAGCTGCAAGCAGGCTGTTTTGAGGAGTCTGAACAACTGTTGAAACAGCTTCTAAATAATCCACTTGCAGCCAGAAATAAATGGCCCTGAATGGGTCGCCTGCTGATTGACAGGAGCGTGCAGGCAGGGCAAAGCAGCCCTCTCTCCCCACCACCCCTCTGAGTGGAGGCATTGCCTGCATGGGCAGGAGACAGCAGCATGCAGATCACACCATTAGAGGGAAAGAAGCACCAATCCCAATTTACCAACTAGGCACAAGTCTACATTAGTCCTTGTGGTGGAGGAGACGATGGGAGGAACCATGAGGTATCTGAGGACAGTGTGGCTGCAGGGTCTGTGCTGTTCAGTAGTACATCCGCACCCCTCAGCATCACTTGGATTCAGCAGAATGAGGCTAAGCCACATCCAAAAGCAGGTGCTTTGCTTTCAAACAAGCTGCTTTGCAACCTCATGCTGCCCATAAGGAGCATGCTCTTGTTGTTCTCACTTGCTGTGAGTGTTGTGGTGCTGTTTGCAGGTCACAGCATACAGGGCACTGTGCAGGGTTGTTACTCCAAAGGATGGAGTGGATTTTGCTCAGCCAGCCACCCAGCATGATGGATATCTTCGGTGTCAGGCTCTAGCTGACTTCCCCAGACCCTAGCTGGGCTGCCATTTGCTTTGCAGACATGGCCTAGGGTTAATAAGAGGTAAAGCTTTAATGATAAGTGAGTAATTGAAGTGAGGGCAGTGTTGTAAAGAGCTGACAAGTCAGCATGGCAGGTGAGGCCAGAATGAAAGCCAAAGCCAAAGCAGCAAGGTGACTCAACCTTGCTGCTGATTTTGCTGCTGTTGCAAGGCTCAGTGCAGAGAGGAAGGCTGTGAAACTGCCAGCCCTGCTCTGTGCACGAGAAATGTGTTTTTCCCATCACAAGGAATGATAGATCATTTGAAGATCTCTGCCTTTCCTGAGGAGACAGGGCACCCGCAGTATCACTTGTGAAGTTGCCATGCTATTAGACACCAAGGAAGCCACATGTACAAGTTTCCCAGGCATTAAAAAAACCAAAACAAAACCAAAACAAACTTTGGGTGGCAGCTGGATCTTCTTTAGCCCCAAGATAACCCATCTGTGGGACCACAAAAAGCTGGGCTGCAGATTTTCACTGTTTCTTTTTCCTCATCTGGAGCTCCCTGCCTGCTCCTTTGGCTCTTCCCAGCTGGGCAACACGTGGTGGGATGTCCCCCCAGCCCTAGGGCATCTCCTCCCACCAATCCCTCTCTCCACAGGCCCTGAGTACCAGAAGCGGAAGCTGTTGCAGGAGATCATGGAGGATGCAGAGCACACCGTCAACATGGAGGAGGAGGCACCACGGCCTGAGGGTGCCCCGCCACCCCCCACACCCCCTGAGAGCCCCCAGCTCCATGAGCAGGACAAGGCCCACCGCTGTGCCAGCCCAGTCCCCAGTCCTGCCACCACCCCTCCTGAGGCCAAACGGGACAA